GAAGTTCACTATAGAGAATTGAGAGTGATTCCCACCACCTGGTTTCAGAGCTTAGCAAAGTAATGTATATAGAATCTTTTCCAGTCCCAAAACAGTAAGGATTCACTTCTGTTTGGCTTGTGTTTTTTTGGTTTGAAAGAGGATTTCCAATCAGAGCTGTTCCCTGAACATATCTGTTTGGTCCCATGACAATCACTTCAGTCCCAAAGATGGAAATTGTGGGAATCCTTCACTGACATTGGACACAGCCTTGGGCCCGAAGGAGTTGGTGCTGCCCAATCAGATCCTTCTGTGAAGACCTTGAAGAATCTCTTTATTTTCCCATGGAAAGTGGAAAACTGAGTGTGAGTTCTATGAGCAAGACAGTATGGTTTTTCGATAGCCTCACTTGGGACATTATATAACATTAAAATCTCTAATGTTTAATGAAATCAGCCAGTTAAAACCAGAACTAGGCTTTCTTATCACTTCATCCCCTTTGAATGTGAATGGAAGATGAATGGGAGAAGAGAGAGGGCAGCCCAACCTTCATAGCTCAAATCTTTCCATTAGACATTTTAAAGTCACATGACTAGATATTGTTCCAAAGGGAATGCTTGGAAAGGAATGCATCAACCTTGTTCCATTGACTTCCTTATTTCTTGTTAACAGCCCAAATTAATGATTTTACCAATAACTTCTCTTTTTAATGATATTCATCTGTGTTTAATGAAACATATTTAGGTAAAAATCAAAGGAGTATGGATGTACATAGATGGCTGAACTGATTGATATCTAGATAAATAGAGAACATTTTACAAGTTCACAAAGGGTTTCAGGAAAAAAAAGATTGGGATATATTGTCAAAATTATCCTCTTTCACATTCCCCTGTGTTGCTTCAAGTTTATTTGTCTGTCCATCCCTTCATTGAACTTTACTGTAGACCTCTCTCAGTAGGTCTTCCCACACCTAGTGTCTCCCAGAGTTTCCTGGAGTTGTGATGGCTTAGCTCCCCCAGCCGTTTTTATAAGTCTTCTCACAAAATATCAGCCGCATTGGGGAGTGGGGTTATCATCATTGGAGAGACTGCTGCAGCCCCTCCCCCATGGCTGCATCATAGACATCATTGAGACCAGAATAATTGACATTTATGTAGTACTTCAGGTTTGCAAAGCTTACAATTTACTTACAGTTTTTTACTTAACAATATTTTACAATTATCTCATTTGATTTTCACTAGGTAGATACTACAGGATATTATCCCAATCTAAATGAGACTTAAGGAGTTAAATGACTAGCTCATGATGATTACACAGCTGGTAAATCTTGGAAATAGAAGATCTTTTCTGACTCTAATTCCAGTGCCCTTTCTGTATGCCTCTGCTGCCTTCATCCAGATGGGTTTAGATAGCACAGACAAGCCAGAGACCTTTTAGCATTAAAGCCCTATTATCTGATGACTCATCACCAGATCTTTGAAAGGAAGGATAGGGCAGAGCAGCCTGGTCAGCAGAGCCTGGGCTGGACTTTTGGGTGACTGTTGTCTGGCTGACTTAATTAGTCCCCTGTGCCTTAGCTTCCTTATCTGGGCTTATATTTGCCATGTGCCCATAGCTCACCGGACTAACTGTAAAAAAATAAAAACGGGCAGCTAGGTGGTGCAGTGGATAGAGTTCTGGCCTTGGAGTCAGGAGGACCTGAGTTCAAATGCAGCCTCAGACACATGACACTAACTGTGTGACCCTGGGCAAGTCACTTAACCCCAACTGCCTCACCAAAAAGCAAAATAAAATAAACCCTGCCTTACCTGCCTAAGTCCTTGTAATTGAACTTCCTTTGTCTTTCCAGTTCCTTTGGGGTTTGCTTTTCTCAGGAACCCAAGGAGGATTAACTGGCCTATGTGTCCGGTGACAAGTGCCCTTGCCCAGACCATTCCCTCAATCCCTTCTAACCCACATTTCTTTAAGTTGAAATCCTGCTCATCTTCCACCATTCATGTGATGTCTTGAACACTTTTGCCTTTCTTGTGGCATTTGTCACACTTGGCATTACCTTGAATTTGTCTCCCCGTTAGCCCTCAAATTCCTTGAGGTGATGGAGAGACATCACTGTGAAGTTATACCTTACAGCCATCCATCAATCAATCAGTAAACATTCATTAGCATCTGCCATGTGCCGGGCACTGTGCTAAGGGCTGGGAATACAAAAAAGAGGCAGAAGACAATCCCTGACCGCAAGGAGTTTATGATCTAATGGGGTGGGCAAAGATGAAAAAAGATGACAGGCCATTGTTAGATTGTAGGAGGATGGGAACAACAACGTTCACTGCTGGGGGAGCTGTAAGTTGGTCCAACCATGGTGGAAAACAGTTTGGAGCTATGAAAACACCAGCTCTGTGGCTCAGCCATCGTTGTGTACCTCCGGGTGCTTGACACTGATCCTTGCAGAGAGCCAGCGCTCAATCAATGTTTGCTGGGTGGAGAGGGTAGAAATGAGGTTAATCATGTACGGATGGCTGTCAGGTCGAAATCTGGTCACAAGGATGACTGCCTGTCAGTCTTCTAGCTGGCTCCAGGTGCCATCTGCCATCCTGCCTGTGCTCGGTAATGGTGAATAGTGGTAAAGAGTACATGTGGCTTGCCATCCCAGGGGAGAATGAGTGCCGTCCTGGTGGACTCTTAGGGAGTGCTGTCCAACATTCTAGCTGTGACATCTTTACCTTTCCGTCACCCAAGTTTGTCATGAACTTGAACCGTTTTGTGCTGAAACTATTGCAGCCTCCTTTCTAAACCCTCTAGGTTAAAAGGGGGTTAGTGTAAGAGATGTTTCCATGAGACGGGGAGAAGAGGGGGCTAGGTGTCACAGTGGGTAGAGCTCTGCACCTGGGTTCAGATCTGGCCTCAGTTATCAGCCATGTGACCTGAGCAAGTCACTCAGCCTGTTTGCCTTAGTTTCCATAACTGTAAAATGGGGATGATAACAGCGCTTTCCTCCCAGAGTTGTGGTGAGGATTAAAAGAGATGATATTTGTAAAAAAACAGAACACTTAACATAGCGTCTGGCAAGTAGTCGGTTCTCTATATATCCTTATTCCTTTTCTTCAAGAGTGTGTCCTCTGTCCCTTTACCCCCAGTTCCCAACAGGATAGATTTTTCTTTTTTTTAGGAAATTGGAGTTAAGTGACTTACCGAGGGTCACACAGCTAGTGAGTGTTACATGTCTGAGGCCGAATTTGAACTCAGATCCTCCTGATTCTAGGGCCAGTGCTTCATCCACCATGCCACCTAGCTGCCCCCAAGGATAGATTTTTTAAAAAAGCACAGCTCCTCCCGTCTGCTGCTGTGCTCCAGCAGCCCACAAGAGGTCAGGCAGAGAAGAGTTGAGAAAGCTCACTGCCAGAATGATTCAGCCATTGTGTTCTCCGGCACCATGTGTCACCTCTCCACACATCCCTTCCCCCCCAGGGAGCCTCCTATACGCAGGAAATCTATGCAGCTGAGTGGACAATATGATCTAATGGCAGCACTGGGCTGAACTTCAGAAGACCCGAGACCCCATCCAGGCACAGCCTCTTTGGAGAAACTACCTGAAGTTTTAGAGTTTTAGTTTCTCCTCTGTAACATAAAATGCCACTTTACATATTCAAAGTATAATTATCTTTCTTCCTCCTGACTAGGAGAATGGCTATATCATTCTCTGATCATAAGTTCTGTACCCATAATGAGGAAGAGCAGAGGAAGGGCTCGTATCCAGAGGGCATGCTGCTAATGGAATTAAACAATTGAGCTGCCTGGAAATTTCTACGACAATGATGAGTTTTAAGATTTGCTATTTCACGGTTCTCTATATTTGGGGGGGGGAAGGGAACAACTAAATCTGTGATTTCATTAAGATAGAGAAGACCCAGGAAGAAACTCCTTCTGCTGATGGAAATTAGGACCTGATGTGCAGTTTATAGTCTTAGAGAGTTGTATGGGGGCACAGAGAGATTAAGTGATTTGCCCGAGGTCACATAGCCAACATGTGTCAGGGGCAGAATTTGAACCTAGGTCTTTCTGACACCCAGACCAGCTCTCTGTACTTCTCTACATATAATGCCTCTCTATTCAGGGGTGGGGCACCTGCTGCCCCAATGCAACACATGGCCCTCGAGGTCCTCAAGTGTGGCCCTTTGACTGAATCCAAACTTCACAAAACAAATCCCCTTAAAAGAGGATTTGTTCTGTAAAACTTGGACTCCGTCAAAAGGCTGCACCCAAGGACCTAGAGGGCCACATGTGGCCTCAAGGCCGTGGGTTGTCCACCCCTGACCTACACACACACAAACACACACACATACATACAATTTTCTCTTTCTTTAGTTCAACACAATAAGCTTTTGTTAAGTACCTATTATGTGTCAGACATGTGCTAAGCACTGGGGAAACTAAGAGAGAAAAAAGACAGTCCCTGCCCTCAAGGAACTTACAATCTAATGGGGGAGACAACATGCAAACAAATATATGCAAAGCAAGCTATGTACAAGATAAATTAGGAAATAATCGGCAGAGAGAAGGTACTAGAATTAGAAGAGGCTGGGGAAGGCTGCCAGTACAAGGTGGGATTTTAGGACTTAAAGGAAACCAGAGATGTCAGTAGTTGGAGCAGAGGAGGGACAGCATTCCAGGCACAGGGGATAGCCAGAGAAAATGCCCAGAGGCAAGAGATGATGTGTCTTGGGCGAACAGCCAGGAGGCTAGTGTCACTGGATCGAAGAGCGCATGTTGGAGACGGAAAGGTAGGAGGGGGCTAGGTTACGAAGGGCTTTGAATGCCGAACAGAGCACTCTGTATTTGATCCTGGAGGCAATGGGAAGCTACTGGAGTTTATCGAGGAGGGGCGTGGCATGATAGGACCTGTGCTTTAAGAAAATCACTTTAGTGGCTGAATGGAGGATGAATTGGAATGAAGAGAGACTTTAGGCAGGGAGACCCACCATCTGGCTATTGCAGTAATTCAGGCATGAGGTGATAAAGGCCTGCCTTAGAGTGGTGGCTGTGTCAGAGGAGAGAAGGGGTATATTGGAGGGTTGTTGCAAAGGTGAAATCGACAGGCCTTGACAATGGCTTGGATATGGGTGGAGGGGGTCCTGAGACACTGAGGAATCCAGGATGACTTTTGAGTTGTAAGCCTAAGGGACTGGGAGGAGGGTGTTACCCACTATAGTAATAGAGAAGTCATGGGGTGGTGGGAGGGTTTAGAGGGGGAAACTGAGTTTGAGTTTAAGACGTCTACTGGACATCCAGTTCAAGATGTGTGAAAGGCAGGTGGAAATGAGATGTTGGAGGTCAGCAGAGCGTTTGGGCCCAGATATGTAGATCTGAGAATCATCAGCATAGAGATGGTAATTAAATTCATGGGAGCTGATGAAGTCACCAGGTCAGGTAGTACAGGGGGAGAAGAGAAGAGGGCCCAGTACAGAACCCTGAGGAACACCTATGGTTAGAAGGCACGATCTTGAAGAGCAGGAGAAGCCAGATAGGACCACTAGGATGAGAACCAGGAGAGAGTGACGTCTCGAAAACCTAGAGAGAAGAGAATTGCAAGGAGGAAAGAGTGGTCAACCATGTCACTGGCTGCAGAGAGGTCAAGGTGAATGAGGATGGAGAAGAGACAAAGGTTGGGTTTTTCAAAGGAAGCTTTACTAGGTAACCATTTGATAGATTTCCTCCTACCAATAGGGATTTCATGGTCTTCTCTATAGAGACTGAAGTGAGTTAGATTTTGGAAGACTGGACAAAGTTTAAAATCCAACGTATGAGAAAGGATGACTTACTCTTGCACACAAATATTCTGAACCGTGAAAATAAAGTGTCATCAGAGGCCAATTCTTTGCCTAGTCATAGAGCTCTTGATCTGGCCCCTCCCAACATCCAACAATCCAAATTAAGGCCATCTTCGACGTATTAAATCTCAGCTTCAGCTTCTGATAAGATCCATTAAACCAAGTTGCTTTGGAAGTATTTTATTTTTAAGAGGTCTCCAGAGCGAAGCTCGGGCAAGTTCACTGCTGGCAATAGCCCAAATTATTGGCTATTTCTCATCTCCTGAAGTGAGAAGAGTTTAATTTCAGGTGTCCTGTTATATATAGACATCAGTATTGCCCCTTTAAATGCCACGTCAAGGAGGACCGACAGGCTGAAGGCAGAAGGCATCTCTAGACAAGGGATCTTTGGTGGCAGCTGACTGAAGTGTCAGGCTCTGGTGAATGCATAGACAGTGTAAGCGTGTGTACATAATGGTGCACACCACTTTGGGGGCAAGTCATTAGAGGCTCCTCCTTTATTTCCCCAAATCAACTTGGGCCAAGTTGGCCAAAGATTTTTTGGAGGGGATGGGCAAAGTGAACACTTATTCTTCCCTTGCTTTTTATGTCTGAAGGGAGGTGACAACCAGAAATTTATGCTACCTTATCAATGAACCAATTAACACTGAAGAACCCCCAGAATTCAGGGCCCTATACTGGGGTGACTCAAGTCTGTATCAGATGAGGGACAACTGAAGTATTGTTTTTCATGAGAATGTCCATTCACACACACTCTTTCTTTACCTGCCATATGTATTTTGCTGGCAAACACCCAATTTCAGTCTAGCACCCATTCTTCAGCCAAGGCCTTCAGTAGGTTGAGCCCTTCTTTAAAGAAGTCTGCTTTGTCCACTCGCTGACACTGGCAATCCTGGAGATGGGCCTGGTTCCTTCCTTGGAGCAGCTTTAGGATGCAGAGGCAGCCAGGAGTTTTCTGTCTGCCTCAGGTTAGGTTCCTTCATGGTGAGGTTAGAGATTTCAAGACCTACCAATGGGACTCATCACCTAGCACCAAACCCGACAAGCCTTAAGGTGTGGCCTGAACACACAAATATGCCAATACTCCCCCAGACTCTGGGGTGGGTGGCTTAGGTTCCTCCAGCCAGAGAGCCCTGTCTAGGCTCACAGGCCCCTGCTGCTATTGCTGCTGCCAGTTCTGCTCTTGGTTCCTTTCTTTCCGCTTGGACCTATGGCTTCGGAGCCCAGGGCCCCACCTCCAGCAAGGTCTAATCCCAGAGTCTTGCCACAGGCTGAGAGGCGCTGCAGCACCTCAGAAGCAGCCACAGGGGCGTGGCTGTTTTGGGACAGCAGCATCTCAAACAGGGAGCTCATTTCTGAGAGGAAGGTGCTGGCCAGCTGGTTCCCCATCGAGTTCATCTCAGAACCAGCTGATTTACCAAATGTCTGGAAGGTTCTGGGCTCCTCCATGGCAGTGACTTCTCGACCCTGGCTAGCAGCTGGGGAGTCTGGGGAGAAGACATTGTCTCTGTAGTTGGTGTTAAGAGGCAAGGACAGCCTTGCCATCCAAGCCGGGTCTGGGACATTCAGCCGATCAAGGGCCAGACCTGTCAGTGAGAGAGAAACAACAACCATGCTGTGATACAACAAAGTGCCAAGCAGGACGAGGGAGGAACTGTAGGTCAGGAAAAGGGTAGTGAACAGTACAATGTGGGGAAAGGAAGTGACTGGAAAGGATGAGAAAAAGAAAAGAAGGAAAAGAGCCCAGATAGGTAAAGTGTTTGGGGCAGGAAAAGTCAATGGTGAGCAGAGGTACAGGGAAGAGGCAAGTCAAGACTAGAGTAGTTAAGAATGTGAAACTAGGTTTCAGGAACACAATGTGACTTTTGTGTTGGTTATGAGTTCCAGGTTTATTTGTCTGTTCCCTCTTCTTGCCACCCTCTACCACTCCTGTGCAGCCAGATCTCCTACTCCCTTAAAGGGAACTTTTCTCTCTTCTGGGTACCATAAGGTTACTTTGAACTGCCTTCATTATACAGACTGAAGCATGCTATTTTTCACTTTCTTCTTTTCATTCTTTTTCTTTTATTAGAATCTTCTTGACCAAAATTACTTATATGGAAATGTTGCACAGAATTGCACATGTATAACCTATATCTGATTGCTTACCATCTCAGGGAGGAGACAGGGATAGAATTTGGAACTCAAAACTTAAAAAAAAAATGTTGAAAAATTGTTTTAACATGTAATTGGGTAAATATATATATATATATATATATATATATATATATATATACACACACACACACACACACACATAAATATATATACACACACACATAAATATATATATACACATATATACACACATATATATATATACACACACACATAAATATATATACACACACATAAATATATATATATACATATATATGTATATACACACACACACACACACCCCTTCATTAGCTTTGATTTGTCTGATAATGTTCATTCAGCCCATGGCCAAATCGGCCCATCTTCTCTACTCTTGAATGTCCTCTGTGTGATGGCAAACTAGGCCATCTTTTGCCTCAATTCTTACCTAGTCTTTAATTCTGGAATGGGCACTGCCCCAGACAAACTGAGGCCTGGGAAAGACCTTAGCTTAAAAAGGCCAGGGTCTGGGGCAGCTAGGTGGCATAGTAGATAGAGCTCTGACCTTGGAGTCAGGAGGACCTGAGTTCAAATGCAACCTCAGACACTTGACACTTGCTAGCTGTGTGACTGCGTCATACAAAATAAAAGGCCAACGTCTCCCACTGCATCTGGGGCCACTGCCAGTCATCTTAAGCTATGTCTTGCCACTGGACTCTGATGACTCTGGAGGAGAGTGAGGCTGATGACTGCACAGCTCTGCCTCACTTAAATCCAATTCACTTGCAAGTCAACACATCATTTTCCCGATGTCATGGATCTTCTTCAAGAAGCAGGATGAACAACAACAGTGAAGGCCCGTTCCTCTTCCCTGTGTACTTACTCTCTCTAACCCACATCACAGGAGCCTGGCTTCCATCTCACCCCACCCTAGGCTATGTCCCACACTCCTGTTTGTTTCCCAGTCCAGCTGATTGTCTGCTTCTGAATAAAGGCACTAGTATTTGCTTTAAAATCAGAAAAAATTGAAACAGTCCCTATCCTCAAAGAATTTACATTCTATCAAGGGAAATAACACATACCCATATAAGTAAGTGCAAAACGCATAGAAAGTAAATAGAAGGTAATTTCAGTGTGCAGAGGTCCTAGCTGCTGTAGGAATCAGGAAAGGCCTCATGGAGAAAATGGCACTCAAACTATAAGGTGGGGATTTCAAGAAATGAGGAGGGAGGGCATTCCAGGCACAGACATGGGTGATGGAATGTCTAGAGGGCGGATCAAGATGTAGGCCAAGAAGTAGGCTGGATGGCAAAGTATATAAAAGAGAGTAAGGTGCAGAAGATCCTGAAAAGGTCAAATGGAGCCTGACAGTGAAAGACTCAACTGCCTAACAGAAGAATTTGCATTTTATCTTACAGGCAGCAGGAAATTATTGGAGCTTTCCAAATAGGGGAGTGATGAGATTAGACCTTTGCTTTAGGAATATTACTTTAGCCGCTAGGTGGAGAATAGATTGGAGAAAGGAGGGACATGAGGTAAGGAGACCAACTAAGACAGGGGTGGGGAACCTGTGGCCCTCTAGGTCCTCAAGTGCAGCCCTTTGACTGAATCTCACTTGAGGACCTAGAGAGCCACATGTGGTCTCAAGGCTGCAGGTTCCCTACCTCTGAACTAGTGATCAGGAGTTTTGTAAGAGTTCCTTTATCTAGTTCATAGATCACTTTTATTATTTATAACAAAAGATAACTTAGGTTTTGGGGGTTTTGTTCAAGCATGTGTTGTTTCTTCAGGGGAATATTCCCGCAAGTGCAGCTTCTGCTCTTAAATTTAGTAACTCTAGTCCCAAACACTAGGGTTTCATTATTTCCTTGAGATTTTTGACCTTCAATTCATTCCTCCAAATGAATTTCTTTGGTATTTCTTCTTTTCTTTTCTTTTTTTTTTTTTAAGGCAATTGGGGTTAAGTAACTTGCCCAGGGTCACACAGCTAGTAAGTGTCAAGTGTTTGGTCTGATGGAAGATTTGAACTCAAGTCCTCCTGACTTCAGGGACAGTGCTCTATCCACTGCGCCACCTAGCTGTATTTCTTCTATAAAGTAATCCTTCAGTGGTTCAGTTGGCACTGAATTAGTAAATTAACTGTCATTTTGATTATATTGGCTCAACCTACCTACCCATGAGCATTTAAGATTTCTTCAATTATTTAGGTCTGTTTATTTCTATAAATAGTGTTTTATAGTTGTATTCATATCACATACTAGGGTTTTCCTGGCTGAAAACTTCCACAAGTTTCTACCTTATTTGCTACTCTACAGCTCTGGCCTACAGATGTGTCAGTTGCAGCCTAGGCCTTGGGCCTGGCAGGGAAGCATTCCCTAGAACTCTGAAGACAATTCAAAGACCTCCCTCTCATTACAGAAACTGGTGTTAAATGGAAATGTGTTATACATGAGTAAGGAGCCTGCTGTGGGGGGGAAGTGATGATTGAAAGAATATCCACTATACTTCCTAGGCCAAGTGGTACCATGGGAATAATACCAGGTCTGAAGTCAGAGGGTGTGTGTTTGAATCCTGACACTACTACTTACTACCTATGTAACCTTCAACAAGTTACTCAAACCCTCCGGGCTGTAGATTTCTCATCTGTAAAATAAAATAAAGTGGTTAGACTAGATGACACCTGATATCCCTTCCAGCTCTAGATCTGGAATCCTAAGACTCCAACACCTCCATGTAAACTGCCTCATATGTACCAAAAATATTCCAAAAACCTTCTTCTCTCCTTAAAGGACTCTGGAAATGGTGATGGTGGTAGAGGTAAGGGAAAGCCTGCTCCTTTCCAGACTAAGGTGAATTATGAGACTGGTTGTTAATGATTGTGTTTCATGTAAGGTTGGCACCCAACATGTGAAATGTTACATGTGGCTTCCTAAGCTGTTACAGTGCTTGGAGGGGTCTTTGAGACCATAAGGGGACATTTCCTTCTCCCTTCCCCAGTTTGATCGGGGTAAAAATCTTTCTTACAAAAATATGGAAAAATAAGAGACCAGAAGATTCAGAATGGTAGTGTCTATATGAGAAAGTGAAAATGTTATATTTGGGAAAATTCCATTCAAGCCTCAGTTGTTTAGCCCCCAAATTCAGCATCTTCATTGCCAATGGAGGGCCCAGTAACTATTCCTCATCTTAGATCTAGAAAATCTTCTAGCCAGGCCTAGAGTTGAGAGGTGGAATTGTCTCTTACACAAGTATTTCCTGCACAGAGCATCACCACCACTCAGGCCTACCTATAAATTGATAAGGTCCAGTACTTCTCTTCTGAGCTAAATACAGGTACTGTCTATCTGCAGCTGATGCTGGGCTCTGCTGAGGATGAAAATGATCTTTTTAGATTTGCATTCCCCTCTGCAGAGCTAAGCAATGTCCTTAGGGGCTGCTGGTTTATCCTAAGTCTAATAGAGAAAAGGAATAAAGGGGGAAATGGGGAGAGAGAGAAAAAGGAAAAAGATAGAATGAAGAATTACATAGAGAGAGTCACCTTCAGTTTTACTTTTAATCAGTCATTGGTACAGGATGAACATATTATAACTCCAGAGCTAAAAACACATGAATTTTCACTAGAACTCAGATCTGTTACTTTTGTTGTTGTTGTTGTTGATTTGAGGACACTTCTGGGTTGAAAGTCAGGAGGTAGATGGGCAAATATCCCTTCCTGGTAAATTTCTGCCTTTTAGCTTCTCCTCCCCACCCACCTTTAGCATCAATCACATTGGCTGCAATGACTTCTAAAACTAGTCACAGGGAATAGGTGCCTAGAGCACAAGAGTGAGAAGAGAGAGACAGAATGGTGAGGGACATCATTAGACTTGGACTCAGCTTTCTGCAAAGAATGAGTTACTTTATACTGACCAGATGTTTTCCAAAACACACAAATTTTGCACAGAATTGCTGCTGTACTCCACAAGACTTACTATTTTGTTGCTTATTGTCATACTATCATAGCTCTAGAACTGGAAAGGACCCTTGTGGTCATCTAGTCAGTTCAAACCTCTCATTTTACAAATGAGGAAATTAAGGCCCAAGTGACTTGTTCAAGGTGCATTAATATTAAGCAGAAGAGCCAGAATTCAAGCTAAGCTTCTCTCACTCCAGGGCCAGGGTTCTTTCCATTGTATCATGCTACAATTTGCTAACACCACTTAATTTTTCAAAAATTCAATTTAATAAACATTTATTAAGTGCCTACTATGTGCTAGGCACTATGCTAAACACTAGGGATACAAAAAAGGGCAAAAGACAGCCCCTGCCATCGTGGGCAGCTATGTGGCATAGGAGATAGAGTGCTGGGCCTGAAGTCAGGAAGACTTGAGTTCAAAAGCCTCAGACAGTGTGACCCCAGGCAAGTCACTTAACCCTGTTTGCCTCAGTTTCCTCATCTGGAAGAGGATCTGGAGAAGGAAAAGGCAAAGCACTCCATCATTTTTGCCAAGAAAATCCCAAATGGGGTCAGGATGAGTCAGACACAACTGAAATGACTGAACAAGCCCTCATAATTTACAATCTAATGGGGACAATGACATGCAAACAAATATATACAAATCAAGTTACATGCAGGATAAGTAGAAAATAATTAACAGAGGAAAGGCATCGGAATTAAAAGGGGCTGAGGAAGGATCCCTATAGGAGGTGAGATTTAAAGGTGAAAAGCACCAAAAGCATAAAATATTAAGGCAGCAAAAGCATTAAGCTTTTTAAAAGCATTAACTTCAGATTTTGGTTGTGAATAGGTCACTGCCAACCCTGAAACACCAAGTCATTAATCCCAGTGTGACCTTGGAATAAGAATACTATTTGTTGTTGTTGTTTTTTTCTTTTTAGGCAATTGGGGTTAAGTGACTTGCCCAGGGTCACACAGCTCGTGTCAAGTGTCTGAGATCACATTTGAACTCAGGTCCTCCTGACTTCAGGCTGGTGCTCTATCCACTGCGCCACCTAGCTCCCCCTTGGAATAAGAATACAAGTAGCAAAGGAAATTCTCCATTAGACTATAAACTCCTTGAGGGCAGGGCCAATCTTTTGTCTCTTTTTTGTATCCCCATCATTCAGCACAGCCAGACACACAGCAGGTGATTAATAAATGCTTATTGATTGATTCTCTGCCATCACTATAACCCCTTTTGATTCTCTCCTCTACCATCATGTCCTGACCACCCTGAAGGAGGAGAGAGAGAGAGCTGAAAAGGACCTGGTCATTGGATGTTTGAAGTCTTATAGAAGAAACTGATAAACAAGTGCCTAACTAATTAATAACAGCTGTATAGGTACACGAATCCCTTAAAGAATACAGCTGGCTAATGCTTCTCTCCGGGAAAAGAACAATTAGCAAATTCACAAATTATAGTTATTGTCGAGGCAAATTTGCAAAATTCAAATATACTTATGAAAGGCAAAGAACAAATTAATCTGTTCATTGGTGCTTTTGGTATCCAATCAAAGTATAACTTAATTTAAACTTGCTTAAATGAGTAATTACCTTGCTTGAAGTTTAAAAGGAAACACATCTAATGATTTTGCTAATTGTTCTTCCCAACTGTGGCCACAATAGTATTTCACATAGTAAGTGCTCAATAAATATTTGTTGAATTTGAGTTCTGAAAAAGGAAGATCCTGAAGGGATGGAATTAATCAGAGTCAAATGAGGTCAATGTTGATCAAAAGAAGCCCTTTACCTGTTTGTGGATCAAACAAGCTCTCTAATTCTTCCTCCAAGAGTTGTTTCACTGAGAGGTCCAGCTCATTGTCTGAATTCCCATCCTCTGCTTCATGTTCTCCATGGTCACCCTCCTTGGCACTTTGCCAATCTGTCTCCAATCCTGCATTTCTGCAAAGGAAACCAAATCACCACAGGAAGTGACAGACTTCCTAGAGTTTTCTTTCTTTTTCTCATTGTAGAATTCAATTTGACAAGTATTGAAATGCCTACTATCTATGCAAGGCTCCCTTTTGGTTCCTTCTCCAGTACATTCTGTTCATGGTTTCAGAACCTACTCAGAATATTCAGAATAACTACAACTTTGGTTAGAAAACATATCCAAGTCTACTTCATGGGCTGTTGTCTTCATTGGTGGTCTTGTCACCATGACCTAACTCAAAAACTTTCAGTGGCTTCCTATTGCTGACTGAATAAATTCCAAACTCCTTAGAATGTCATTCCAGGCCCTGTACAGCCTGGCCCCAAACTACCTTTCTAGCCTTATCTCCCACTTTTCTTCATATTATACCATATGTTCCAGTCAATCTGTATGACTTACTAGTCTCTATAGTTACCATGTATTTTCCTACCCTTATCCATGCTTTTCCTTCTACCTGGAAGGCCCTCATAGCAGAAACACATTTACTCCACCTCTACCCCATTTTATCCTTTAGAAATTCTGTGCATTCTTCAAGGTCCAATTCAATGTTGCCTCCTCTAAGAAGCCCTTCCTAACCCCTCTAGTATACTTGCATAGTACTTTGCTTATACCTCTCTTATAGCACTTATCCTATTCCACCTTGTATCCTGTTTATCTGTGCTCATATCTCTTCCCATTAGATTTTGTTTTTCGAGGGCAGCTATGATATCTTGTCCATCTTTACATGTTCCATGGTGCCTGCCACAAGATCTTGCCCATACCAGACACTCTATTAAGTGCGTATTGAGTTGAAGTGAATTGAATTTCCACTCCTTCCTCTCAATCACATATATTCTCCAAGTGAAACATGAGAAAGATAATTTCCTAGGGCTGATTCCATGTGAAATAACTGTTACCCAAGAGCAGGGCCATTTTCAGAGGAGGCTAAATCTAGCTTGCTAATGAGTTGTGAGTCCTCAGAAATAGTGAAACCCACTCAAGGGGACAAATACCCACACTTAGCATGAACTATTATTCCTGCCCTTAAAGTTAGGCTTAGGTGAGAAAGCAAGAAGGGAATAAATTTATTAATACAAAACAAAACATATCCTGTGTGCAAAAGGAGCCCAAACACCTCTTTCATCAGCAGACAAATTAGAGCATCAGAAATGAAATCATTTCCTTCACAGCTCTAGGACCTAAATATAGTGGCAAAAGCACAGCACAGCCTGGGACCAAAGAATGGCAGGGGGTGGGGGACCAAGCCTGGAATTCTGACTCAGAAGAGCAAAGACTGAAGATCAAGGAACATTGGAAATCACTGACCAGAGAGAAATGAGGCTAGGAGGGGCTGGAGTTGGGAGGATGGCCAGGGCAAAAGAGATGGGCCCAGGGTTTTTGAAGACTCTTCCTTGAGTAGAGCTGAAGGTTACGTGTTGCTTACCTGACACTACCGGTCTTGGCCGCGTATTTGTTTCCTCTGTGGTTTGGTTTGGGTTGAAATTGGCCCTGGTGCAGCAAGGACAGCAGCTGGGATATTTGCTGTAAGACAGGAAAAATCTGTTGACTCTACACAATTCCCCCCAAGCACACTTCCTTGCCGGATGTTTCCTTCAATACTGTGCTTTCTTTTTATAGTGTTTCCTCCGGCTTCAGATGTTTGTGTGATTAGGACAGGGGGACAATGCAGAAGTGACAGAGACCTACACAGGCAGATTCCCCAAGCTCCCTTACTTTACCCAGGAAAGCTAGTGCAAGCTAAAGGAGAGGGGAGCTGAGAAAACACATTATCCTGCCCTTTCTTTGTCCATCTTTCTCCTACGAACACACACACACGCACACAGAGCACAGAGCCCCCTGCAAGGTGAAGTAATGGTCCTCACCAATTAGGGAGATGGAGATGGAATGTATGATGGAAGAGGAAAGACATTTCTTCAAAACAAACTTTTAAAAAAAATCTAAGTCAGGCACTGGTAAATTGACACACAAGATTTCTTTGCAAGTGTTGTTGAGTTAATTGCTGTCTTAAGAACAGATGAGAGAGTTCAGACAATCTAAGTGCCATGCACATACGTATACTGATATGACAAAAGAATAAAGCAACAGTAAGGTACAAATAAAAAAGGGAAGGAAAAGAAAGCAAGCCTAATATTATTTTGGCAAAAATGATTTGTTCATTTGTTTTCACTAACATTTAAGCTGCCTGATCAAAAGAGACTTAAGGCCATGGTGCTGAGAGAAGTAAAGCAGACTGGGACCCAGGACACCTGGGTTCCCCCCCCATCTCCATCATCCCCTTGCTGTGTGATGTCAGGCAAGGGATTTAACCTCCCTCAGCTTTTGGGTTGGGCTCCTCAACTGAAAGACAAGGCTCATGATACTTACCTTATCTCCCTCACAGGCATGAAGATTAATGAGCTATATTTTTAAAAAGTGCTATACAAATGCAAAAAGTTTTTCTCATTTTTGTTACCAGAATCAGTGCTTCAGCCTTAAGGGAGATTCTCCAGAATGACTGATTGTGTTTCCTCTGAACTCAGCTCCTTGGGCCCAAAGGAAGAGAGGTCTGAGAATTCCCAATGTCAAATGTGACTTGGAAGTCAGACCCTTGAAAGGGGAAAAGAGAAGCCTCTAGGCTGGGATTTGACTATGACTGTGAGGTTTTTAAAGAAGTAAGGGTCAGTAGGTCAGAGTCCCATTTCCTGGAGCACACCCGACCCCAGCCCCAAAGAGCCAGGACCATTCATCAGCTGCAGCTGGAGAAAAAGCTGTCTCTATTCTAAAAGCGCTATCTGCGGCAAGCCATTTCCTCCTCATCTTATCTACTTGTATGACAGATAAGAAAACAGCAGAGTCACAAGCCACTTAACATAGTAAAATGTCTTTTTAATGCCTCCTCCCTTCTCTCCAGCCTCCTTATTAAGTAACAACCCCCAAGACAAAGTCTGCCCTTGTCTTTGAGCTGCTAGGGAGGGCCATTTTGATGTCTGGGGCCCACGTTAAAACTACCCAAAAGGGAGACTGGCTATTTGCCTGGCAGTCTGTGAGTCTGAGTTTTTGGCAAGTTCTTGGGGGAAGGTTGAGGAAATAGCTCTGTCCTTGGAGGCCAGGAAATTTGCTTGGTCTACTTGGCCATTTTGTGAATGTAATGTGGTGTAAGAGGAAAGAGCCTTGGATTAGGAAGTCCTCGATTTGCTATTGACTAGCTGAATGACCTTGGGTGACTCTCTTTCCCTCCTGAGCATCAATCTTCTTAACTGTTAAATGATGGTAAATTTACCTGCCCCATTTACTTCACAAGAGAGCTGTTAGGATCGAATGAAATCTGAAGGGGGTTGGGAACTATGTGCCATAAACAGAAAGCACCATGAACATAATTTAATATAATAGATTTACAGAGAATCTAGTCTAATCCTTTCACTTTACAAATGAGGAAACTGAGGCCCAGAAAGGTTAAGTCATTTGCCAAAAATCATGTAAGGAGCAGAGCCAAGAATAGAACCCAGGTCCTTTGACTCCAAATCCAACAGTCTCTCCATGACTCTCACCAGCTGATTTCTCTTTTCCTGGATTTAATGGATTAGGTTGTCTTCCTTTCTCCTCCCTCCTCCCTGCCCTCATTAAAAAACAAAACAACAAAACAAAAACAAGCCTCGGTTTCAAGTCCAAATTATTCATCTTTGTTTAGCTGCCTTTAAAAAAAATTTGTAATTGGTTGGAAATAACTACAATTTAAACATAGAGAAATTACAAATTCAGCAGACCAATTTCAGTGCTCTAGTAAGTGGCTGAAGTACAGCCTTATCCATACTGGGCAGAGCCACACATCCAGTGAACTTGCACCATTTGAATTGGATAAGCAGCTTTACTTAAGGGAATCCTTATTTTCAGTCATTTTCTGTCTGCTACATATTATACGACAACAAAGAGTTAGGTCAAATATAAAACACCACTACACCTGAGACAGAATCCATAGCCATACTCTTTTATATGGATTAACTTCGTTTTTCCTCTAAGAGGGTGCTTGTGTTGCTAATACCTGAACTGGAGGGGAGTCGATGGTGAGCTCTTCCATGGGGTTTCGCTCTGTGAAGGCAGCCACCGACAGTCGGACCAGGCTGCGCAGGATCTGGTGGGGGTGATGTTCTTTGTCTGGGTCAGCTTTGGCATTCAGATTTCGCTGCCTCCTAAGTGTCGTAGTGGAGGCTGGAAGGGCTGGTGCTGGCAGATCGCTCCCCTGCTCTTGGGATGGCTTCATCTGGGGGCTCCCCACGTTCTTTGAGGCCTTAGGGTGGCATGTTGTTGGCTGAGGATCTGGGAGGCTCAGGTTTTCTCGAGAGGCGTTCCTCTGCCTCGGATGGTGGAAAAGGAGATTGTAGGTGTCTTGCAGTACCTCTCTATCCTCGGGGGAAGCGCCCTGGTTCCTTTGGTTCCGAAGCGTCCTGTACAATGTTGGGGTTAGATATGGAGCCTGCAGTGGAAAGTCCCAACCTGTTTCTGGGACATTTTCCTTCCCTGCATCCTTGTAGGGCAGCCCAGGTTCACTCAGCTCTTCTGCCTGGCCCCTGAGCACCGGCACTAGGTGAATGTCAGTTTTCTGGATTTGTTTCTGGGGTCTCTTGGGCTGGTGTCGGTAGGTTGACTCCGCTTCTCTGCAGTTATAAGCTCTGTCCTCTTTCCGGTCAGTTCTACAGATGGACACAGTCAAAACAAGAATCGACAAGAAGATGGCCAACAACACAGCCAAGCAAATTGCCGTCACTGCTGAGATGCTCAAGGGGCTAGATTCCTGGGCCAGATTCTTCAGGTGATCAAGGCTATTGGTGAAAGTGACTTTCACCAAAGCCCTGGTCTCCAGGGGGGGCCTTCCTTGATCAGTGACAACAATCATCAGTTCCCATTCGCTGCCAATGAGGCTGCTGGCATTGGTGGCATTGATGTACAGCTGCCCCATGTGAGGATCAAGGAAGAAGAGGCGCGCGTCATTTCCACTCCAGATGGCATAGAGAAGATTTCCATTGTCCCCAGAATCTGCATCAATAGCTACAATGGTCGTTAAGAGAAACAGCTGTGGCCTAGAGGTCACCAAAGAAGATGTGCTAGAGCGGGACGCTCGAAAGGGGTCAGGGTTCTCAGAAGAGACCACAAGGTGACCAGTGGAAGAGTTCACCAACACAGAAATAGAGGCTGCCCCATCACTGAGAACAGGCTGCACCACTATGGGAGGATTGTCATTGGTATCCAGGAGGCTGACCCTCACAGAGGCACTAGAAACAAGCTGAGGCTGACCTTTATCTTCTGCTATTACCAGAAATTGAAAACTTGTTATTTGTTCATAGTCCAGCGTAGTAGATGCCGAGACCTCCCCCGTGTCAGAGTCAATAGCTACCAGATGGGAAAAAGGAGATTCCTGGATGTGGTAAGAGACTTTTCCATTGCAGTCCAAGTCAGCATCATGAGCCTTCACAGTGATGAGATAGGAAGAAGGTAGATTATTCTCCCAAACGGAGATGTTGTACTTGCTCAACTCAAACATGGGTGCGTTGTCATTGATGTCACTGATCTCAATAGTGAGATGTTTCTTGGTTGATAACGGCGGCTTCCCCTGGTCTTGGGCCAACAACGTCAAGTTATATTCAGGCCACCTTTCCCTATCCAGAATGGCATTGGTCAGGAGCATATAAGTGTTACCATTGGTTCTTTTTAGTTGGAAATGTCCCTGTCCTTGGCTGAGGGAGCAATGAACCAGGCCATTGTCCCCAGAATCTAGGTCACTTGCTATCACCAGGGCAATGAAGCTGTCCCTGGGAAGAGCTTCAGATATCACAGATGGTTGAGAGGCCCATGTAATATGTATGCTTGGGGAGTTGTCATTGACATCTAGAATCTTGATGAGGACTTTGCAGTGAGCTGGAATCGGGTTGGGACCCAAGTCCCTGGCCTGTACATCTATCTCATAAGCAGGAGTTTTTTCATAGTCCAGGGGCCGACTCAGAATGATCTGACCTGTCTTGGCATCAATACTAAAGGTGTCTTGTACATCTGGTGGCACATGCTTACTGAGGGAAAACTCAACCTCCCCATTTGGTCCTTCATCAGGGTCAGTAGCCGTGAGGTTTATGAGAAGGGTCCCAGGGACAGTATCTTCCCCAACTTCTAAAGCCAAGGAGCTCTCTGCAAACATGGGACTGTTGTCATTGGAATCCAAAACACTGACCTTAACTAAGCTGGTACCCGACTTGGGGGGATCCCCGTTGTCAAAGGCCGTTAATACCAAGTCAAAGGATGCATGCAGCTCCCGGTCCAGCTCCTTAACCACCACGAGCTCTGCATGTTTGCTTTCATCAGGGCCCAGAATCACCTCCAGAGCAAAGTGCTCACTGGGAGAAAGTGAATAGGAGTACAAAGTATTAGGGCCAGTGTCAAGATCCCAGGCTCGGTCCAAGGGAATCCTGGTCCGAAGAGAGGCACTTTCAGAGATCTCCAGCTCCTGCTCTGCTTTGGGAAAGCGGGGGTGGTGATCATTGATGTCCAGCACCTGGATCTCCACGTGGATCAAAGCTAAGCCTGCTGTGGCCAGCACATCAAAGGATATCAGACAAGGATCTTTCTGTTTGCAAAGCTGCTCTCTGTCGAGCCTCCTCCCGGTGCTGAGTAAACCATCTTTGGAGTCAACCTGAATGGGGAGCACCTGAGGTAGCTGCAAAATCTGGAAAGCCCCTTCTTGCCTGCTTCTCTCCTCCCAGCCCAGTTCTTTTGACAGTTTCCCTATCACTGTTCCATATGGCACTTCTTCTGAAACTTGGTATTTTACAGTGAGAGTGGCTATCTCCTGACTATCTGCTGAAAGAAAAAAGAACCAGCACAAACCAGAGAACTGAAGCCGTAAAAAGAATGCCATGCTTACCACCCTATCAGATGGGATTTGGAAGAGCATAAAGTCCCTTGGGGGCTGGAAATATCCTCAGGTGTTTTCTGGGGGTGTGTTTGGCCTTGTCCTCTTGTCACCAAACTTGCTAGCATGATCAGGTCCCATATTCAGATGCTGAAAGAAATAGCAAGATTTCCAGGCAAGTCCATCTTCATTTGAAGAGAGCAGTGAACCTCAAGTTTGGAGGAAATCAAAGAAAGCTTCACTTTTGCACCAGTCCCAACACTTGTACAAAGGATGGAGACAGTCCAGCTTAAAAGGGGACTTTACCATGTGAAGTGGGATATAGGGAATTCAGACTCCAAACAGTTGCGAGAGCAAGGAAACAGAGAGGCTGCTTTTTCCTATGGAAACCCCACCTACAGGAAAGGGAGGCCTGTGAGTTGAAATGTCAGTTAGAGAAATAGCATTTCCCATGAAGGCTGAGCATGAGAATCCAGCACGGGCTCAGAAGATCCTCTGACGGGAAGGTGCTGTCCAATAACTGCTCTGCTACTGCCAGAAATCAAGCCCTTTCCCTAGAGGGAAAAGGGCTCCATGGAGCTATCCCTTCCTAGACCATGCTCCTCTCCCTGCAACTGTTTCCAGCTGCATGTCATGCCCCGGTGTGGTCACAGCTGCTACTCCTGCCCTCCGCCAGAGACCCACTCCCTCACCTTTTCCCCACTGTGGCACACTGAACATGACTCTCTGTCTGGGCACTAACTACCATACTCTTTATTTAACTCCTTTCTCCCTCAATTACCCTTCCCCCAACTGCTAATCACATAATTTCATTGTTCTTTCTGTCCTGTTTTTATTCTTGTTTGGGGGATTCCTCCATCTTCCACTTTACCATCTTTTCTCATACTATTTTTAATCCATTCTCTTTCTCCTTCAATTTCTTCTATCTCAATCCTATTTATGACCAACACTTCCATTGACCTCTAGTTTCCCCCCCCCACCAACTCCCACAAATATTTTCAATGACTATTGTATAGGTACACCCACCCTCCACCTTCCTCCCACCCTTGAGGGAAGGGAAGGAAGGGAATAAGCATTTATATGTCACCAGGTACCAGGTAGTGTGCTAAGACCTGAGAGGTGGGGCAGCTATGTGACTCAGTGGATAGAGCACCAGCCTTGGAGTCAGGGGACCTGAGTTCAAATCCAGCCTCAGACACATAATACTCATTAGCTGTATGAGTTTGGGTAAGTCACTTAACCCCAATTGCCTCACCCCCAAAAAAAAAAGTCTGAGAGGCTAGGTACTATTATTACCTCCATTTTTACAGTTTAGAAAACAGGTTAAGTGACTTGCCCAGGATCATACAGCCAATAAATGTTGGAGGCTCAATTTGAACTTCTGGCTTCAGGCCTAGAACTTTACCCACTGCACCACTTGCCTCTAAGCAAATTAGAAGGTTGGTTTGAGGGATGGGTTGGGTGGAGAGTAAGGAGTATGTATAACTTTGCATTGTTCCTATGGAATTAGGTTATTTTTCATGGCTTTCCTCCTCAATCTCAGGTTTTGAGTGTCATAGGGATTGACTGACATGGTAATAATCCCTCTCTAAATTTCCTGGATTCCATGTGTCATATACACATAGTAAAGATGGTTTTGATCCTTTTCTTTTTGTTTTACTTTCTTGCCTAGGGTAAGCCCATTTTTCATTTCTTCCTCAGGTCCAAGAGAGTGCAGATGCCCATTGCTATTTCCCTATCCATTTTTGGCACAATGATTATATGTCTTGGATTTTCTAAAAAAAAAAAAAGTCCTGATTCCAAGAAAAGGAAATATGCATTTATGAGGCTTTTCAAAAGGAAGATCTTATGTCATACCATGTGTTCCAATTCTTGGTTTCAGAAATATGAATCACTTTAACTGTGAAAAACAAGAAAAGGCTGCCTGCCATATATTCTTGCGTCCACAAAGGAGCTAGAGAGCAGACAGTGCTGAGTATTCACTGCCATCTGCTGACCACAGGCTTTTATGACACTCCTACCATGTTGCCCAATTGCCACCTGGCGGCCAAAGACTTAGAAAGAGGACTTGAGATAAAGCTGAGTTCCAGAAATGTTTTAGGTAAAGCCTGAATTGTTTCAATAAGCAAAAAATCTTTCCAGGGAACTGCTTTGAAGGAAATAGTACTCATTTGCATGTAGAAATTCCAGTATACTTATTTTTTAATCAGCCTAATTACTTTATAATCATATGCTTTTATATGAGCAGTATCACCACACACTTATTATCTAGAGATATTATTTACTACTGCTGGTGTCAGTAGGAAAAATATATCTCACTTCCTTACAAGTTTTCCTCAGATAATGAATAAGATATCAAACCTCAAACACAAGATGGTCATGTACCATTTTCTCTAATTTTAATTTTTTAAACTATAGAACAGATAAGCAAGTTAGTTTTACAGCCTGTACTTCTATCCAAACTTTTGACGTCTCTCATTAAATGTGTTATTTAATATATATGTGTTGGGTTGTTTTTTTTTAATAATTCTGCACTTAGTATTTTTGATAGTCCTGTACATGGCAGAATATTTGGATATATATGCAGGTAATTTCATTTGTCAAAATGGGAAAAAATTTTAATACTTTGAATTTACTTAACATATAATAATAGTATCCAAACCTCACCCCCCCCAAAAAAATATAATAATAGACCAGGCAGGCAGGCAGGCAACAAGAGAAGCACCTATTTATTAAGCATCTATTACGTGCCAGGTGCAAGTTCAGTATTTGGGATTCAAAGAAAGGCCAACAGGAGTCCTTGCCCTCAAGAAGCTCAGTGTAATGGGGGAAACAACATGAAGCAACTACAGATAATCTTCAACTTTCTTGGGAATAACATTCCTAGAAAACCATGAGAAAGTAAAAAAATCAAATGTTAATACATTGAACCTATGAGAAATAAGGGTTTAGGTTTCTGTGACCAACAAAAACTCTCATCTTTTGCTAGAGATTGCTGAAAATATACTTTTCTACATACAATTCTTCCTAACAAAACATTAATTCTGATAATACGTACTTTTCCTAACACAGTAACCATGAAATAACCCATAAAATACAGTACACAAAATAAAATTAGTAACATGCAAAACATTTGTTCTTGTTAGTTAATTCCGTAGAATTCTGTGACCTTTTGTGCTAACATCTCAATAAAAAAATTTCCAAGAAACCCATTGATTTCAGACAATATATACTTTTCATAGCACATGAAATCTATAGTACCATAAATAGCATAAATTTCATCTGATATTGTTCAGTCACATCCATCTCTGTGACCTCATTTGGGAGTTTTTTGGCAATGATACTGGAGTGGCTTGCCATTTCTTCTCCAGGTCATTTTACAGATGAGGAAACTGAGGCAAACAGAGTTAAGCGACTTGCCCAGGGTCACAGAGCTAGTAAGAAAGTATCTAAGGGTGGATTTGAACTCAGGAAGATGAATCTTCCTGACTCCAGGCCTGGCGCTCTATCTCCTTCACCACCTAGCTACCTTCACCAGAAATACTATACAACAAACAAAATTCATATAACTAAAGCATTTTTTAACCTGAATCTTGTCTTCCACTGTGTCAGATGGAAGTGTGAGGACATTATGCTGTACTACACTGCTGTAAACCTCTATGCTTTGACCACTCTCTGAAAACCAAGGGAGAGGTTGCTAGGACTTTAGTTACTGCTGTGGCAAGAGGCTGAGACTGGTGAGGTCTAGACATCACCTCTGAAATTATGTCCTTCAGCAGCTTGAAATAATGTCAGCTACATCTGTTTCATGCTCTACTTGAGATCCTTAAGGATCTCAGAGTATGGAAGCATAGCTGTCAATGTGTGCAGTTGCCAACGGAAGAGTGAAAATGAGGTTACTGAAAAAAATTACAGGAATACTTGAAGTCAGGAAAGTTAAACCAAGGATTGACTGTATGTACAAACAACTTATATACAGGATAATCGGGAGAAAATCAACCAAACGAAGGCACTAACATTGAGGGTGATCGATTGTCAAACATGGGATTTTAGCTGAGACTTGAAGAAAACCAGGAGACAGAGATGAGGAGAGAGAATTCCAGGCATGAAGAATAGCCAGTGAAAATGCCTGGAGTCAGGAGATGGGGTGTCATATGCAAGCAATAGCAGAGAGACCGGTGTCATTGGATTAATGAGTTTGTAGAGGGGAGACTAGGAAGGGAGGGAGGGGCCGAGTTGTGAAAGGCTTTAAATTCCAAACGGAGGATTTTATATTTAATCTTTGAGGTGAAAGGAAGCTATAGTGAGCTTACTGAATAAGCATGTGACATAGTCAGCCCTGTGCTTTAGGGAGATCAAACTGACAGCTGAGTTACAGGATGGACTGGACTGCAGAGGGAAACTATCCAGCAGGCTACTGCAATAGTCCTTCTGTGTGTGGTGACGAGAGCCTGCACCAAAGTGGTATCAGTGTCAAGAGAAGAGAAGGGGGAGTATACAAGGGAGTATAAAGGTAGAAGTGACTGGCTTTACTAACAAAGTGCTTATAGGGGGTAAGGGTGAGAAGCCTAGGATGACACCTGGGTTGTGAGCCTGGGAGACTGAAAGGATGGTGGTATACTCAACAATAGGAGGGGGAAGTCTTGGGGAAGGGGGGATGAGTTCAGTTTTAGACAACTTTAAGATATCTGTTGGAATTCAGTTTAAGATGTCTATTAGACAGTTGGAGATACAAGCCTGGAGGTCAGGAGAGAGGTTAGGGCTGGATAATTAGATCTTTAATTTTTATATTTCTATATTCTCAAAATAGGTTCCTCTTACAAGTTTATTTTAAGGTGTTATTGCAAAGTAAATTTTTTTACAAAGTAAATTTGAAAAACATATCAGGAAACACAAAGATAAAACATGCATGAATATTCAAGAGTTGACTCTGTTGATTAACCTTGTTATATATTCATCATCTTCAGGTGCCTTTATCATTGCATTGTTTTTAAATTGAAAGAGCC